CAAATCGATAAATGAGAAGATCATGGCAAAGGATGAAGGGCACAAAATAAATGTGTTGAAAGGAATCAGCTGATATTTAGTTATTTACTATGATTGTGTCCAAATAAGTATAATAAGCAAATTTGTAGTAGTCTGATTTTATGATGTTTGGAGGTTTTAATTTTCCAGTTGTTGTGTTCGTTGTTTAATCATTCTTGTTGCAAGAAATTAGTTTCTTTACGCAGTTTAAACATGTTTGCTGCAGATACATTTTGCAAGCTACTTATAAACACATTAATATTCCCTATATGTTCATTCTTGAAAGTATGCAAGTACTTTCAAGATCCCAAATCATCGATTGAATTATAGAAAACAAGCAGAAACATGAGATTATACATCATGCTAAAATAATCAAACGTGTGGATTAACGTTGGTCTGATAAAAAGAAAAAAATCAACAACTCATTTGATATAGCAACTTTCAGCCAATATAGTTTTACCAAAAAAAATTAAAGAAACTGAATCTGCCTAGGAAGCTAGGATCATGATTTTCATTATCCTAAGCAATCCTAGCATTAGTCCCCTCAGACAACACAACCACGCACACCAGAATAAGGCGTAAAACTTAGACACATTTTTCATACAACATGCTTTTTTATATCAGACACTATTGATAGAACACAACATTTTGATTTTTTACATCTTGATCTTTTTTGTAGAAAAAACGAAGTTGACATGATTTCAAGTTCATAGCTTAGGTTTTCCATCTTCTATCGTCTTTTNTCTTTTTCAAAAATTGTATTCCCTCCTATTTATAATAAGTGTCGTTTTGAGAAGTTACACACTAATTAAGAATAATTTTTTTGCCAATAATAACCCTAATTAATGAAGATAGAGATGGATGTTTTAACAAAAAAATGAAGAGACCATGAAAAGACGTAATATATTTATTAACTAAATGAAGGTAACATGAAGGAAGGAGTATAATTCTAAAGAATGAATGGTTAACTTTATGGCGTTATATATATCACTATATGCCTCAATTGATTGTGAGGATGAAATTGGACTAAATTAATGTATGATCGGTGGACTGTGATATGTAGATTAAAACAGTGCACTTGATAAATTATGGGATACAAGTCTTTATGGTCTATTTTGCCCTCATGTCTTATAATAATCAAATAAAGTGCCCCATGGTGGTTTTAGCCGTCGGATTGCATACAGTGTCAGTGGATCCGACTGCTAAACCCAAATCATCCACCAAAAGCCCAATAAGAAAAGTGCCACGAGTATTTCACATGTACTTATTCCATTGTGAAGAAGAAAAAAGAGAACTTAACAATAAAAATAAAAAATACCAATACCAATTATATAACGCTGAACTGAATTGAATCGAATTCCATTACATCAAACAGCTTTTTCAACAACAAATCTTCATGGATCTCCAGTTGAAAGGGAGAAAGAAGCCTTTCTCAGTAGTCAGTAATAAGATTTTCGCGGATTGTTCTGCCAAGTAAACAAACATATAAATAATAAGATCTTGCAGCTTTTCGATTAATTCTTGAGGATACACATACACTTGACTCACCTTCTTGTGAAATGCAAGAAAACCTCATTTATTAGAAAGTAAGAATGGCTACATAACATACCAAAGGATTCGGCCTGTGACGATAACCGAGCATCATTCGTTTTTTGTACTGCTCGTAAATGTCGTCATCAGCAGTGACCTCGCCTGGTGCATGCGCACCCACACCCAAGTGATCCTTTTTCACGTCCCCTGCCATAATCGGAGTCGCCATCCCACTTCCCGAGCTCCCCAGGCCCTCACCTGCAATTTTTTTCCGATAGTAGAAAACCAGAATTCAACTCTTAACTCTCAACTCTATTCTATTGATATATTTTTTTCACCATATTTGTGCAATTTCCGAAACGAAAGCAACACTCATAAATATTGTTGGAAATAGCTTTGTCAATAACTAGTTCGGGTATTTATCATGCGAAAAAAAATGAACAACATAACCAGCTCTCTAATTTACCTTCTTTCCAACCCATTTTGGATAAAAGTTTGTGGCCAACATTATCAGCCTGGATTTTCATTTTATCGGCAGCTTCCTTAGCAAACTTTTGTGCAGATACATCGTTACAGGTGGCCAAGAACTTTTCGAGTTCTTCGGGAGGAATATAATCGCCCATGTGATGCCCTTTCTTCGACTGAGCTGTTCAGAGCATTAAAAAATAACATACTTATTATTAATCAGGGAGACAGAAAGTAATTTTCTGGTTGACGTTGGATACATCTCCATAAAAAGAATAGGCATTAAATACTAAAAAAAAAAAAATCTAAAAAAATCTAAACAAAAAAAATGTTAACCATGAAGTGAAGCAGGTGGGGGCATCTCATCCTTTGAGTGTTTTGGAGGCCTCCGTTTCTCTTCTTGTGCGGCCTTCTTCATGTAGTATTCCATCATGGCTATAGGGTCTGAACCGGGAGGGCCACTTTGCTCACCTACCAGAATTTGACATATAAGTAAGTACAAACAAATTTTATAATAAAGGGAAACAGTTATTAGGGACTAACACTTGTCCTGTAGACAATGAGGTACGGCAATAATGGTACACACAAAAACAAGCTACACCAAACCAAATGGTTAAAACATACAATTGACATTTTGAATTATGAAATGATGGCAGCCTAGCCAGGTTTTGGTTTCTCATGGCATCTGGGGGTCTCCGTTACGATTTTCAATACATTATTTATGATTATATTTTCAGTTCAAGAATCAAAAGGTGGATTGTACCATATTTTCCAGTTGCTGTTTGTGATGATGTTTCTGAAGATGATAAATTCTCTGTGGTGTCATATAAAGCAGAGGCAGGAGTTTGATACTTCAAGTGTTGATGTTGTGACCTCTGAGAGTCAGCCACAGTCTTACTTGATGTAGTGCCTAAAAACACCCATCAGACCACAAAACCAATGAGAAATTCATGGTCACAAATTCAAAAGTATTTTTTCATCTTTTTTTTCTATTGATACTTAGTAATGTAACATGTATAACATGGTGCCAACTGCCAAGTCCTCCAAACCAAATGAATTCCAAGGTGCAATTTGGGTAGAATATCTGAGATCAATAAAATACTAACCACTTCGTGACGTCTGGGAATCCATAGTATGGGCCAAAGCCTTCTGCTCTTCACCAAGTCGATATTCATAATACTTGTAATCCGAGCAACTTTCATCAAATAAAAACCTACAAGAAAATGAACTCAGTTAATAATACATTGAGCAAAAGCAAACAAAAAAAGTTCAAAGAACTTCTAGAAAATTATACGTCATTTCATCACATATAAACCTTGGCAGTCAGATACAAAAGGATACTCAGAGTCCCATTTAAGTTAGTGCATCATCTAAAAGTGGTACTAACTACACAAAGAACTCCTATTGCAGCACCTGAGATACAGCTTTGAAACTTTCACTTCAATGAGCCCAAAAGTAGCACATTTGAGTAACAAATATAAAGATGTTAACAACAATAAATTCCCATGTTGTCAGAAATATATATATATATATAGTGCAACGGTGACCTCATATGAAATAGTATTAATCCCTACATGTGCATAGTACAGGAAGTTTGAGGGAAAGAAGTCATAGGGGGTTCACCAGAGTACATATATTTCTATTTTATATTTGAATAGCTATGCTCGGATTCTTTAATTTTAGTAACTGGTAATTTACTGAATAATGTTAGTTTACTGTAAGTTGTAAGTATAAAATCGTCGTTATGTCACCATGACCAGCTTATCAACTCGCATTAGACTTTAGGGGAAGAGCTAATATGAATGTATACTTATAATGCGAGTTGAAGAAGGTGAAGAAGATTATAGTAATCCATTTTAGGTATACTTATAAAGATGAAGAAGATGCATCTCCCTACAAACATCACATATTAATAAAAAACAGCTACATGTTAAATATGTTGGAATCCAAAAATTACAAACAACTCAGCAAAACGATATCGTCAACTGCTTTCTAGTATAGTAACACGAAAACTAAAGAGTTGGGGACAAATAAAATTTCAGAAAAATAATCAAATCTCTACCTAAATTATTATTTTTTTTTGGGCCAATACCACATATTGCAGGATAATGTTAGAAATAGTATTAACAAATATCTAATAGGCCAACAAAAATGAAGTCTACATACTTGAAGGGAGTATCTCCAGGGTTTTTCTGCCGTGTTACATGCTCGAACTGCCTCCCATTCTTAGCAACAAAGCTTGCTAATTTGTCTGCTACATTCTTCACAGTAGGATCACTTGGAGAAGGTGGTGCTGCACGCCACTTAAAGAACTGATTAATACCAACCAGAATGCTAATAACTCTTGCAGAAGGTTATTGCACATCTTTCAGTGGACATCTATCTCCATCAATGTTGCTATTGACTTAAGTATAAGCTTCATTGATCGATAAAAGTAATTCAAGAATGTTTTGCCCTTTTATCTGACACTAAGGGAAAAAACTCAAAGTCAGTACCTACACTACGATGACCAACATGTAAGTCATACAGAATTTAGTAAACAGTCTGTTACAGCACAAGATGAGTGTACCATGCTCCCTAAATGGCAGACTAGCATAAATATATTAGGAATTAAAATTTGTAGCTACAGAAACAAATTCTCAATAGGTTTGAATGGTCTGCCAATATGCGGATAGTTAGTACATTGCTCTCAGCATATTTAAGAAATCAAAGAAGATAAATAACCCTCTTTCTAACAAACAAAACCAAGCTGTGCTCATTGCCAATGCATAAAGCTAACATTACGGGCATTATAATTGAGGCAATCGATTATATGTCCAGACTACAACGTCCAGACATGCTATAAGCACAATCCAGGTAACTCCTCCAGAAGACAAATAAACAACATATTTATGTGACCCTGCTTAACTTCACCTGCCATGGACACACAAGAAATGGGTTAAAAAGTAATTACCAACATCAACTGGTCTGGATGATTGATCGGTGGCATTGAACTGTGCCAATTTTGGCCGCTTTATCGGCCCATCATCTGATATTTTTCGAGCATCCCCTTCATCTTCATCCTCATCTTCACCAAACTTGACAGTGGGAGCAACAAGTTTTGACTTTTGTTTCAAGCTGAATGCAAGTTTTCCACTTGTTACCTTAGAGCCACTAGCTTTATTATCTATAGCAGGTTTACTAGTGACAGTCTTTCGATCTGGAGTAATAAACATCGAGCTTGACCTAGATTTCCCAGACAGTTCACCCTTCTCCTCCTCTTGAAGGTTTTTGAACTTTCCCATAGAAGATCCATCATTACGAAATAACCCACGATCTGTTCCTCTATCCATTGTGGAAGGCCAGGTACGTCCACTTCCTACAATTGCTCAATGCTTGACATTGCAAGCTCAAGAGATATTCAGTCACAGAACAGACTCCAAATAAGCAGCATTCTCAGTAAGTGAAGACAACTGTAATATTATCCATACTAAAACAAAAATCTAGGTTTATAAGAAATATAAATAAAAATTAATGTTGAGGAGTCCAAACAACTTCTTCACGCGTAAGTGTCATACCACATATTAGAAAAAGCATGCCGAAAAGGAAAAATCCTCAAATCATCAACCTAATAAAACTTCAGATGACCTTAAGATGTTACTTCAAACCTTTCTGCTTTTTCTACCGCAAATCGCTAAACCACCAAAGAGTCTATCTCAATTTGATAAAGATTAAATCTTTCTGCCACATAAAATTTTATAGTTCACATAAAAAGTGAACTTTTCCACTACACTAAGAACAATTCATGAGATCATATTCCATAAGACGTCAATCAAATATAACAGCCAGATTCCATCAGAAGCAGCCAAACCCCATTTGGAATAAACTACACAATATCAGACAATTAATCTCACTATGAAAATAATCTTGGATAAACTACACAATATCGCCCCCTTTTCGCATAATTCCTTATAAACCTATAACCAAAAAACATAAAGCAGCATATGAAATAGAAGCCTTAAACCCTTGAAGAATTACAAAAGGATCAACATACAACCAGGTGAGTACACGCGCTAAATCAAACCCCCTGAGCTAATCGATCTTCCAATTAAACGCAAACGCAAATGCCCATATCAAGTGGATCTACATTGAATTCAACCTCCACATCACACGCACGTACACACACAAACGCAGAGGCAAAAAGAATACAAATTCCCGTGTAAAATCCAATTCAAACCCCTAATCCANAAAAAAAAAAAAAAAAATAGAAATAAAAATTGAATAGAGCAGATCAATTATCACTTATCAGGTGCATCTGATTACCTGACTAACAGCAAGCTAAACCAATAGAATCAGAGCGATTAATCGGATGCCCCAGCTGAGTAACGAGAATGATGTCCCCGTTCGTTGGCCGCGATGAAGAGTATAAGTATTGCTTGGTGGCTCTTGTTTATTTGTTTGTTCGTTTTAGGTCCTCATACTATTCCCAAATGCCCAACTCCAACCCCTTTCCTTCTGATTTTATCCATTTTGTCATTTTAGGTCATACAATTCCCAAATATCTAGTTCCACCCCCTTTTCTTCACATTTTATACATTTTCTCCTCTAAATCTTTCAAACTTATTGAATGACTTAAAAATTCAAAATGCAAATTCTTGTTTGAGGTGACCTAACAGTTAGATGAGTCGATTTGTCGTACTTTTATTCTAAATATGTTTGTCTACTATTAGGCTTGCTATTATATTACGTTGAAAGAATATATTTTTCTAATCATTAGACTTGCCTAACAACGGCCTTACTAAAAATATAAACAATATGTCTCAACGATTATCTCTTTTCTTAAGATATAGAAAAAAAAGGCTACATCTCATAGATAATTAGTAGTTTAGTGTATGAAAATACTAAATTAATTATTCGTAACTATAAACATTTAAGTAAATGAATAATAATTATAGTTTATGTGTAGTAGATTTTAATTTAAAATTGTGTTGCAATATGTGCGAGTTGAGAAATAGAGAAGAGAGAGACAAATCAATAATATTTTTCTTTTATTGCGAATGAGATAATGAGTGAGAAATATATCCAATCCTGCAAAACCATTTACCTAATCAGTTTGCAGAATCAAGATTTGTTGTTCACAAGTCAGGTGTGTCGCGTTCATGTGTTCGAAACCTTTGTAATAAGATGCCTAAATCAGACCATTAACCTAATCATTTTGAAGAATAATGATTTGTTGTTTATAAGTCAATGTTCACATTCCTGTGCTGGAAAAAAAAAACCATGAACTCATCAATCCTAACCACTTTGAAGAACAAGGTTTTTTTCGGAACATACGGAAGATGATGTAGCTTTGCCCAACGTGTCTAGAGAGCTCGACTATGATAACCTCCACAGCCTATCACTATTCTGCTGCATTCTCGTATAGTATCCAGGTTGGGATCTTGTCGAAGGAGTATAATACTTGCAAAATTCATGGCACAAAACTAAACTACAAAACTATCAAAACCATGCAGTAAAAGCTTCCCAAGTCCATACTAGGGTTACAAACGAGTCAAGCCGAGATGAACATGGAACTTATCAAACATAGATCGATTTTTTTCAATGCTCGAGTTCGAGCTCGACTTGATGCTGGAGATCGATCGGTTCAATGCTCTAGATCAACTCAAGTTTGGCTCAAATTTTAACAACTTTATAAATTATGCACCTATGACAATTTTGTGAATTACATACATATAAAGGGTATTTAAGTATTTTACCGCATATTTCAAGCCGCTCGACAAGCAGCTCGACCTTTGAAAATTTGAGCTCGAGATCGACTCGATAACATACTCGAGCCACTCAAGCTCGACTCGAATTCGGTCAAACACAAGCTCAAGTCAAGCTTGGACTCGAACGCTCGCAAGTCGCTCGACTCGTTTGCAGCCTTACTACTACTACCAATTTCGGAAGCAATATACAGAGTTCACCAAATTCAAAACCCGCATCAATATATCCATGTCAGACAAAAGCGATGCTTTAAGCTAATACAACGCATATCCCAAAACACAAGTTACGAAATGAAAGTGCATTCGAATTAGAAAAAAAAAATCTCCATCTCAAAACAAAACTTAAATTCCATTAAGTACGCATTACACATCCTTAACACAAACGAAAAGAGGGAGGAATAACACTTATTCATCATCCTCAATGATTTGGGTGCCCAATCCCTTCAACCCTGCTTCTGGAATCTCGGCAACAGTCACAAGAGAGTAAAGCTCTTCCTTGGCATCCTCATCATCGTTCCTCTTTCTCGCAATACGAACACGGATTCTCCTGGGAACACTCCGAATCCCACGGCTCCAAATGTGCTTGTTCAACTTCACATCAACTCGAACGTCCTTTGTGCCCATGGCCTTCTGGGCGAATTTCCTTATCTCCTTTATGGCCTTCGGTGCCTTCTTCTTGAAGGTACTGCACGTAAAGTTTCGTATATGCAGTAGAATTAGACAACCAGGTATTATCACAATAGTATGAATTGTGTAATTAGATAAATTGCAATTGGGTTTTTCAGAAACGCAAAACTAGAAATCGTTTTCTATAAGCACCCATTCAAAATAAAATCTGGCTTGAATATAGAAAGGGTTGTAGAATAGTACACTAACGCATAACCCCAGCAACTGATGATTTTCATTAACAACAGTTATAACAAGAGTAATGAACTAATAATATCTCAATTAATACTAAAAACTACCAATGATCTACGTTCTGGGAACAGAACAGCGGATATCAATTATCCAAGGGTTGAAACTCGTGCATTTTACAGCCATAGTAAAAAATCAATAAAGCAAAACGTAAGCTTTGTTGGTTCACAGGAACTAGTTCTTTGATCCAAATAACAGAACGACACGTAAAAAGTTTGTTGTGCCATTCGGCAAATTAGGACCTCTATCCATATCAATAAGACAAAGACTGAGAATAACATCAATGTATTACATGTTCGAAACCATCAAAACATTATAGCCATGATAATAAAATACAGCTGGGCATTTCGTTTTGCTAGTTCAATTTGGTAGACAGGACAACATGACACAAGATACTAACATGCAGCTCGGGAAAAAGACCTCCATCAACATCAACGAGACAAAATGTGTAGACAGGGCAAAATGACACAAGATACTAATGTGACGTTCGGGTAAAAATAGGACCTCCATCAATAAACAAGACAAAATGTGTAGACAGCACGAAATGCCACAAAATGCTACCACACTGTTCAGGAAAAATTAGGACCTCCATCACCACCAACAAGACAAACTACTCAGAATAACATCAATGTAAATGTGTGTGAAAGCTTAATCCACATTGGGTGCATGGAAGCTTAGTCCATATTCCTCAAACGCATATGTGAACATCACAATATATGGGATGAATTTACTACACAGGTAGAACAGGTAAAATTTCAAGCTGATTATGTATGCTTACAAATGAGCTTCAAGTAATCATGTGTCAATGGCGACAAATCCGAAAAATGTACACACTCATCATTGATAATTTAATCTTGAAACTCATACACCCTAAATACAGGACGAATAAAAATGCTTAATGAAACACCAGCTAACAAGATCTAAAAATCCCTGAACGAAAACACACACAGGAGCGAGAGAAAGAGAGAGAGAGATTACCATCCATGGAGGCGTTTATGAAGATTGACGGTGTACTCCCTGGTGACGACCTCCGCCGCCCTCGGTTTGCTTCCCTTCTCCACCATTGCCGTCGCTGGTGCCCAAATGCTCGGCGGCTTCTTTCAGATCGCTGGATTTTGAGTCTGAACTACAAACCCTAGATGTGAACCAGAGAGGTTTATATACACGTGCTTATATGTATGTAGGTATGAATCGGTTTACCTGAAATGTCCTCGACTCTTACTTAAACCACAGTGTTGCCCCAGATAACGTTATGGGGCCATAACTTATTGGTAGGCCTGTAGATGAGCCGAGCCGAGCTCAGTTCGAGCTCATAAGTCATAACGAGCCGATTCGAGCTCAACTCGTTAAATAAACGAGTCAAAAATTGAGCTCGAGCTCGAGCTGATCTAGAGCTTTAACGAGCCAAACTATAAAATAGTATATAAAAATTCTCTTTTCGAGCCTTAACAAGTTTTATCAAGTTGAGCCGAGTTCGGCTCGTTAACCAAACGAGCTTTAAATTAGCTTGAGCTCAGCTCGCTAAAGCTTCGAACTCGAGCCAAGCTCGAGCTGGGTCGAGCCAGAATCGTTTAATTTAACAACACTAGTTATTGATAGGGGTTTAAACGAGCATAATCGAGCTGAGTTCGAGCCTTAACGGCCAATCTCAACTCGGCTCGTTAACTTAACGAGCTTATAATTGAGCTAGAGTTTGGCTCGCTATCAATATTAACGAGTCGAGTTAGAGCCTTAATGAGCCAAAATCGATCTGAACTAAAGAAAAGTACATAAAATTTTTTTTTTTTTTTAACCTAAACGAGTTGAGATGAGCTCGTCTCATTAACTGCACGAGCTTTAAACAAGCTCGAGCTCGGCTTGTTTGATAAGCCGAGCTCGAGCCTTAACAAGCCGAGTCAATCCGAACTCACAAATGACTCGTGTATTTAACAACTCTAGGTATTGGGCTTTGGGTTGTTTGATATTTGCAGTTAGTTACAGCGTGAGCAATTATGAGCTCATTTCACATTGTACTCTGGTTTGGAGATTGTTGTGTACAAATTGTTATTTTACCGAGTACCGAATCTAAAGATTCGATTCCCGGGTCGATTTCACGAGGAAGACGGTTCAGAACTTAGAAATGGTGTTGACAGCACACAAAAAGGTTATAAAAACCTAAACACTCTAATCAGATAGGGGTTCTGAATAATTACTAACCAAGAAATAATAAAAGCAATAATCTACCAAAAATATGAACTAACAAAGATGAAGAAGCTATGGAGTCGGGGATAATTAATTCAAGTTCTAGCAAAGCCGGGCAGTCAATTGCTCGGTTCGAGATTGACACTCTCGCTTAAACATATAGCGGTTCGCTCCCAATAAATTTTCGTAACAAGGGATTAAACATAGACGAACAAGCTCGAGCATACAACACAGGCCAATTATCCCAATCCCAATAACTTTTCGTAACAAGGAACGGGTTATCGACAAGCACGTATTTCAATCTCAACCCACAGATTATTCAACTACGAAATCATCTACCTCATGCGAGCCTAGGTCTACGACTTCTCCCCTTTCGGTTCTGAAAGTCGCTAATTAACTAGAAGGTGATTAATCAACTAATCATATAGAACTGACAAACCCTAGCTCGACAAATTAACATTCAATTGTTTTCAATCGCAAGATCGAAGTGTCACTCTTCGATTATATCAATCAATCAAGCACAAATTCATCAATTCTGAATTAATTCAACTCACATAAGCATGAACAATCTTGATCCCGAATCCCTAGCAATTAGATTTAGCTACGAATATCAAATCCAACAATCATAATCATTCCTCTCAAATAACCATTATTCATTAATCAAATAAGAGAAATGAATACTTACAATTAATTCAAGTTCCCAAGTTGAATCTGAAATACAAGCTTAATCGTAAAGAAAAAGGAGAAGAAGAATGAAAGAAAACGATGAAAGAAAGGTAAAAAAAAATGAAGAAGAATGAAAAGAGAAGGAGAAAGAGGGAGTTCGTGAGTTTTCTCGGGACCTAGGGTTTTCACCCGGTCGAGAGAGTGTGATTTCTGATGTACGGCACGCAATATGATAGGTCGAAAAATGTGCACGTTTTATATATATAATAGTGTATTTTTATACACTTAAATTATTCGCATGTTTATACTTTTCGACTTATTTATTATTTGGATGATCCATACACATTGATATTTTTATATTTATTTTCAGCTCATTGGAGTATCTTGTGTACGCGAAGCATTCGACGGAAGTTCACGCTACCAATTATCGGGCACTCAATACAATACTAATCGAAGCCCAAAATACATAAAATTGAAGTGGGCCGGATGACAAAAAGCCCAATTGTGATTCATAATGTTGGAATTGGAAGTGGAATACACGTGAATGAAAAGAATGTGGGGCAATTAATTTGAATTGATTTTCTATTTTGCGGGCCCCACGAATGAGATTAGTTGATTCACTAAAGGACTTTGTCTTGAGGATTTGATTGGTGGGGACTTCTAATTGCTGGGGGAATTAATTTTTCGAGAGCACTCACGCGAGCAGTAGAAGAAAAAAGCCGCAGGAAGAATACACCACGCACAGACTGTGAAAGAAGCTACACGCGGAGGGAAGCCGCCATCGCACACGAGGGAGATAACTAATCTCTCTCTTTTATCTTTTCTCATCTTTTTATTTATTTTTATTAATATGTTAGGATAGTATTTTTATCCAGTTCGAGGGGATGTTTGAACCCTAACTTTGATTTGTCTATGGATTGAAGGATTTATATTTATCATTGATTAATCGAGACGCCGTATTTATTTTTGTTGATGAGTTGATTCATGTTATCTATGTTTAATGTTTATGAATTATGGTGTTTGATTTAGTTTGGCCAGCTAGATTGAATATTCTTAATTTAACTGCTAGATTCGAGGCTTTAATCCGTAATTGTTATTGTCTCGTTTCATTAGTAGTAAACTAAGGGTCGTGCATCTCTAGGGTAGCATGAGCATAAGTTAAATGGTCCGAGCTTTTGCGTCCATTGCTTAGACTGATCTATTTTCCTAGGAATTAATGCTGCTAGTGTATTAAATCTAGAGAGCTTATTCTAGGTTGTCCGCTAGTTAGGTTTAGTCGAAGAGCTTATTTCGATTAAATATTCGGTAAGGGAAAATTCGGTTAACAGAGCTTGTTGTTAGCTAGGGTCGGTAATTCATTAGCATTTTAAAGAAAGCGTCGAAATTAATTAGCGGTAGATTTAGATTGGGTGATAACTGAACCGAAAGCTGGACTTCTCTTATTTTATTTGATTTTTATTATTTTATTTTTTGTTATATTTTTATTAAATCTATTCCCCCATATTTATTTGCTTTCTTAGTTCAATTAATACGAAATTGTCACAATTTAATTCCTACTTCTCGTGGGATCGACCTTACTCGCCGCGCCGCTACTACTAGTTAGTAGAGGTTAGTCGAGGAAACTTTATCAATTTAAATTTGCCGCGTCGCGACGCGCGGTCACAATATATATATATATATGAGAGAGAGCGGCGCGGCGCGGGAGCAAGCGACACGNNCTCCCGCGGCGTGGCACTCGAGCAGGGCTGTCTGTTGGGGTCGCGGTGCGTGCAGCGGCGCCAGCAGGGGGTGGCGCTGGCCTGGGCAAGCTAGTTGGCAGTTCGTTCGTCTTTACTTCTCGGGCCCGTGCGAGCTCGTCTGATATCGGAATTTGATTCCGCTTTTTCTTGCTTGTAGCTAATGAAACGCTCTATTTAATGATGTTCAACAGGCCCACTTATCATGAAAAATAAATTCTGCCGAAGCTTTCGACCTGCACACCATAAACGAAGAAAAACCGGAAAAACATACGGAAAACACAAGAAAAACCAAGATAGAGGAAAACACGTGATAAACTACAAAACGAGATAAAAACTAACTAAAAGACCTAATATGGGGGAAAAGAAAGGAAAAATAACAAGGGAAAATGCAATAAAAATAGGACAAACAGAGATGTTCAACATGCTAGTACTAATGATTTCGGGTTAGCTCAACTTTTTTCGGACTTAGGCGTGATTGAATATAAAAATTAATCGGTTTTGACTGGCCATATGACTTTTCTTTTACAAATTTTAATTCAAAATTCAACTCAACTATCTTTAATATTATCATAATTAAATAATATCAATCATTCATTCTCATATATCACATTAACTTTAATTCATTAATAATTCACTCACATATTTTAAACTAACTATCATTTCCATTACCATATATCATACTTTTGCAGCACATCACTTTAATAATTACATATTAAATATTATTTAACTACAAATTCAAAATATCACTTAATTATCCACTCAATCAATTTTATTTAAAATTAATTCACTTTAACTGATAAATCCAATCAAAAAAATTTATTTATATCAAATTGCCCCCTTAACGATTTGAGTCAAAAGGTTCCGACTTGAATGGCTTAGCAATATGCTGATTTAACCTTAGGAGAGTATATTCAATTGCAACAATGAGGCATCACCATGAAGGTGAGGGTGTTGAAAAGGAGTAAAGACTTCTAAAATTTTAGTGTGTTCAATTAAATTTTTTGAGAATTTAAAAAATATACCGTTATTCAATTGAAACTTTTAAAGACTATTTATAAATTTTTAAAAGTATTAAATTGAAACTTTCTAAATGTCTGTATGAATCCACTTCAAATCCACTTTAAATCTACCAAATAATTTTAAATTCAAAATATTTTCATTCAAAATATAACTCAATTTAATTTCCCTCGATGTTATATATAATTAAATAATATGTGTTGACAATGGACCGAAAACGGTTACGAAAAGTATGTTTAAAGTGACGATGGACCAAAAACGGTTACGAAAAGTATGTTTCAAGTTGTTAGGGTTATGAAATATTGATGGTAAATATTAACAGTGAAGAATATAGACAGATCGAAATAAAGTAAATATACATAAAAATAGCGAGACACAGATATTGTAGATCAGTTAAGACGATCAACAAGGAGATTGTTTCTCCGAAATTTTTATCGAGTAATTATGTAGTTAGAATCCAA